CCGCCCCCAGGGGCGTCCGCGGCGGCGCGGGGAGGGCCCCCCGCCGGTGTCGGCTCGTCCTCCGCGCACTGCCGGCTTGCACCCCTGCGCACCGCTGGATTCGCTCAGGGGATCCGCGCTCCCATCTGGCCTTGTTGGCTCTGGCCCCTTGGCGCCAGTCCCCACCCGCTGGCTCTGCGGAGCCCCTGCCCCGAACACTCCCTGAGCCCGGCTTGGGGAAGTCGGGAGAGGTGGAGTGACAGCCGGGCAGCTGGTGGTGCACCAGTGCGTCAGGCCGGCGGACGCAGGCATCCTGGACCTTTCTCAGTGGAGAGCAGGGTCACTGGGCAGGTTTCGACCCCGGGCTATTTACCCTGGCCCTGGCTGCCTGATGGGAGGGGAGTAGCATTTGCCCTTTTGCGCTCCGCTGGCCTTGCCCTTCGGAGGGGCTGGCCTGGTGCTTTCCATACAGCACTTCACAAGGGACCACATCCCGAGGCAAAAATGCAAGTGACTCTACCTGCCACATCACCACCACCACCTGGCTGGCCTCTGGTCTACTTTGACCCTCCCCTTGAGTGTTCCGCACGCTGAGCAGAAATTCCACAGCCGACAGGGCAGTGGAGAGTTCAGGACCACTCTTCCCAGCACCCAGAAGCAGTTTGGGACCATTGTTTGGAAGCATCAGAAGAAAGATGCAAGGCTTCATTCACACTGGCAGCTCAGCTTGCTTCTGGCCTGGGAACCGCGGGCTAACATGGGAAGAGGACTGGTCTGTGGATCTGCCCCTAGCTGGGTCTCTGCCTCTCCTGAGCCCGCCTTAGAGTTTTTTATAATGACTCATTCTGCTCTTTCTGGGATCAGCCTCCCTCCCACATGACCCTGGCGGGGTCCCTTAGTGGCTGGGTTTTATTTGGAGTAGCCATGTGGGCTTGGCTGAGTCAGAGCAGGGCATGTTTCCTGAGGAGGCTAGGAGTGGGCTTGGGATGTGCTGCCCGCCAGCTCTCCAGCTGCTTCCCTTGGTGCTGGGCAGATCATTCATGCACGCTGATCCCCTGCGATGAGTTCAGAGGGCAGCAGCTGGGCCCCTCGGGGTCTCAGCCCCTCCTTTGTGACTTGGGAATGTTTATTTGTGCACCGCAGACCCAGGGGGCTGCGAGGAAGGTTGGTAGGAAGAGAGGCCGAGAGGCTGATTCCTCCTTCGAGTGGGAGGATTCTATAGTAGATGCCAGGTTCTTTCTGAGATCCCAAGTCCAGCTCCAGGCTGGAATGTGGCACGACTGAGTTTTCCATGCGATCTCTGGGGAAACCCCTCAGGAAAGGGACCAGGGGTCCTGTGCACTCAGTGGTCTTCCCTAGCAGGCCCTGTATGCAGTCCATGTCCACCAGGGTCCAGAGGGCGAGAGGGGACATTTGGGGGAAAAAACACTCTCTTCTTGCTGTTTTGGGGAAGTAGCTTGTGCCATGGATTCCTCCTGCCAGGAGCCAGCCCAGAACACACAGAGGAGGGTAACTTCACGGTTTCTTAATTTCTACACTATTGACATTCTGGGCTGGATAATTGGGTTGTGGGGGTACTGGGCTGTGCATTGTAGGATACTTTGCAGTCTCCCTGGCTTCTACTCACTAAATGCCGGGAAAATCCCCCTTCACCTGCCCCCTTCATAGTCACCATAGGGGGGTCACAGAATTGCCTGAGTTTTGAACACCAGTGTACTTGGAAATGACCTCGCCCTCTCTGGCTTCCTCCCTGGCCTGCCTTGGTGGGGAAGCCAGCTCTGTCCACTGCAGGACACCGTCTTCCTCTGCAAGTGAATGTTGGGACCTAAACATTGCTTTTCTTTGCAGGGCTCAGGGGTGATCAAGGCTGGCTTTGCTGGAGACCAGATTCCCAAATACTGTTTTCCAAACTAGTAAGTGCAGCCCAGGCAGCAGCTCTGACTTGCCGTTGGCCTGGGTCACAGCTCTCTCGTTTGACGGCAGCTCTCGCTCCTCCCTGTAAGGGAGAACCGCCAACTTAGTGAGGTCCACATGACTTCGAGAGCTCCGAAAGGACTGGACCAGTGTTCCAGGTTCCCTCTTCCTGTTTGGAGTCTTCCATTTCGGTCTCTCCTTGAGCCAGGGAGGAGGAGCAGCAGGCATTCCCTGGGGCTGGGGCGGTGGCAGCCCCAAGAATCAGAGCTGTCTGCCAGAGACCTGCCTGGTGCCAAGTTACACAGGAGAGTCAGGTGCATAGCTGTCCCTTCCTCCTCAGATGTTTTCTTCGGGGCTTGTTTATTCTCAGACTAGTAAATGTTCTGTTTTAATCAAGGAGGGGTGGGGGGCCTTTCCCCAGGTGATTTG